TCCATCCATCTATCTATCTATCTATCTATTCATCCATCCACCCACACATACACGCTCACATCCGTACACATGTATGTATGGAATAAATAATGGACGAGAAAGCATCGAGTAAAGAAGATTAAAATAATACGAAATATATATATATATATAGCCTTCGAAGATTCTCTTTAAATTTATTTATATATTTACTTTCTTTTTCTATTCTATTTTTGTCGTTTCTTTTCTTTTTTTATTTTTTTCTTTTCCATTTTTCTTTTTCTTCTCTATACCTTCTCCCATTCGATAGTCGAAGAGAGGTTATAGGAATAATATATATATATATATATATATATATATATATATATATGTATATATATATATATATATGTATATATATATATGTTGGTTGCAGCTTTAATTGCGCCCATTAAAAGGGAAACTACTGGCTGGCGATCGTTATCAAGTCGCCACGGATCTATAGAGGAAACAAAACACACGCACATACATACACACATATACACACACACACACATACATATATACATATATACACAACCGGTAGTGCATTATTATCGTGTTCGCGCAATAGAGCTTGCAGAAAAGCTTGGTAAAGCGAGCGTGTAGCGTTTCGACATTGAAAATCGATTTTCCTTTGCGTAATAGCTCGTGCGAGGCCCGGTGAGATTTCGGTGATGAGGAAGGAAAAGAAAGAAAGAAAGAAAGAAAGAAAGAAAGAAAGGAAGAAAGAATGAATGAATGTGGAATAATGATGATAAGGGTGGAACACGATGATGAATAGCAAAGCACGAAACTGTTGAATTCGTTCGTCATTCGTCGTCATTCGTCTTCCATCATTTTCGTTTTTCTTCTTTTTTCTGTTTTTTCTTTTTTTTTTTTTTTTGTTATTGCAATCATTTCAGCATAGATTAGGAACGAAAGAAAGGGTAAGATCGAAAGAAAGGAGAAAATGAAGAAGAAAAAAAAAGAAGTGTTGACTTTGATAACTTTCTGTTAATCTATTTTGTTTTCTCTTTCTTTTTTTTTTTTTTTTTTTTTTTTTTTCATGATGACAAAGAGAGGATTGTGAAAGATAGGGACTGACGGATGCTTAATCAATTCGTACGATTGTTCCAAGCAACCCTTCGATAAGTATTTATAATAATTATTTGTGATATTATAAATTATGAAAAATGAATGGGCAAGTTAATCGTAAAGATTGAATTTATTAATGGAATTTAGAAATATGTAAGGATATTTTTCTTCTCTGATTCTAAGCTATCCTTGTTCTTCGCTAAAGTAACGGAAGGAAGATTAGATAGATGTATAGATGGATGTATAAAGAGAGAGATAGAGAGAGAGAGAGAGAGAGAGAGAGAGAGAGAGACAGAGAGATAGAGAGAGCATTGACTAAAAAATATCCAAAGATCGTGAAGGACGTATAAAAAAAAAGAAAAAAAAAAAGAAAAAAAAAGAATAAAATAAAATAAAAGACAAAAAGGAGAAAAGAAAGGGAGGAAAAAAAAAATTCGAATAAGAGAGAATACGAATGGGATTTTGAAATTGGGATTTTTGGGAAAGTTTGTTATACGGGAAGAAGGGGAATGAATTTGTAATGGTTTTAAACATAAAAGCGAAAGTGTTGGTTGGCTGTTAGAAGACGCTTTAAAATACGTCGGAAATGGTTCGTTTGGTGTGAAGGAGAATAGGCCAGCTAAATGAGAAGGTCGAAAGAGAAGGAGAAGAAGAAGATGGAGGAGTTAAAAGAGCAATAGTTCAGCTTGTTCGTAGTTCCATTGCATCGTAAAATACGCAAATAAACCGAAACTAGTCGGTAGTCGACTCGTCGTAGTTCAACGAGGCAAACTCAAAACAACTGGTGTAGGAGTTCGCAAAAGCACCGGGTTAAAGACTGTGTTATGGAACAGAAAAAGAAAAATGAAAAGGGGCTGGGAGGAAGGGTGAAAAGGGTTTAGAAAGGGGGGTTCAGAAGAAGAGATGAGAGAGAGAGAGAGAGAGAGAGAGAGAGAGAAAAGAGGGTCAAAAGAAGGGTAGGAGGAGGTGGTGGTAAAAGCAGACGACGAGGGGGTTCCTCGAGAGAGACCATAAAACTTGGTCGCGTCCGAGCGTTTATAACGAACGCAATGCGCGGAAATACGGCAGCTTAATCCCAGGGAAACGGCTGACACACAGAAATATTCCAACGTGACTTTCGTGCTTTAATCCATGGAGGACTTCTAGTAAAGCTTCTCTGCCTCTCTCTCTCTCTCTCTCTCTCACTGGTTCTCCTTTCTTTTTTACTCTCTTACTCTCTCGTATATATCCGACGTAGTAGTAACTCTTCGCATAAATTTACTATCCCCCGACGATCTTAAATTTATCGCTAGAAAGAGAGAACTTTTCTACCTCTCTCTTTCTCTTTCGTGCACATTGAATCGAAATGATATCGCGTTTATCTCTCTCTCTCTCTCTCTCTCTCTCTCTGTCTATCTTTTTAGCGCGCCATTGTAGAAAGAATTTTCATCTCAAAATTTAACCTCCTTTTATTATTATTATTATATATATATATATATATATATATATATATATATATATTTCTTTATTTATTTATTCACTTACTATTGTTTATTCTTTTATTGTTTTTTCTACATAAATTTTCCTATCACTCCGACGAAGTATTTTTTTTTTTTGCATTCGTTAAAATGTAAAATGTTAAATAATATAATAGGAGAAAAATATTGAACGGTACGAGGATTAGATTATTCTTTTCTCTTCCCTTTCCTTGTTTCTTTTTTTCTTTTTTTTTTTCTTTTTTCTTTTTTTTTTTCCTCTTTGTTTTTGTTATAAGTTCGTAAAAATCTCATCGAATTCTCTGCGCAAGAGTTTCCTTTTTATTATTGACTTTGATTTTGTTTTTTTTTTCTTTTTCTTTTTTGTTCTTTCGACGATCGAGTCTATTACGAACGTGTTTTTAACTTCAAAACTTAGAAAACGATGTAAATGTTTTTTTTTTCTTTTTCTTTTTCTTTGTCTGTTTTTTTTCTTTCTGCTTTCTTTTTCTTTTTCTTTTTTTTTTTTTTTTTTTTTTTTAGACGCACATCAATGGCCGAATAGGTGTAATAAAATAACTGTAGAATTCCTATGTGTCTATTCGCGATAAATCAAGATAGTTCGGGACTGGCATGTGACTGTAACCTCCTATGTGACTATAATAAAACGAACGAAAAAGAAAAAAGAAAGAAACAGGGTAACAGAGAGACAGAGACAGAGACAGAGAGAGAGAGAGAGAGAGAGAGAGAAAGAGGGAGAGATTAAGAGATAGAGAGTAAGTTATTGGCTAATAATGCCAACGTATGGCAGTGAGACACGCATAAGATGGCAATAGTTATTGCCGCATTAATTTAATGTTTTCTAGCAAATGCAAAACACTCATGAACAGGTGTACGTGTGTGTCTGTGTGTGTGCGCGCGCGCGCGTGCATTTGGGAAACGACGTTGAGCTCTAGGAAAAATCATAAACTTCGTCCAAATTTAAATGTTCGTATTTCGTCGGCAATGAACGTGGAGAAGTCTCCTTTCTTCCTTTCTGCTCCGACGATTGGTCAACATTTTTACTGATTTTTTTCTTTTTCAACTTCTACTATTTTTTTTCTATTTTTTTTTTTTTTTGTTTTACTTATTTATTTATTTATTTTTTTTTTTCTTTCGTAACCAACGATGACAGCTTTTACGGTTTGTTAATGGCGAGAAGAAAAAATGGAGAATGACAAAAGTTGAAACGACAAAAGCGAATAAAAATTAAATGAAGAAGAATAAAAATGAAATAAGCAAATAAATGAGTGAAATGAATGAAATGAGTTAAATAACAGGCAATATTAAAGTGGCAAAAATGAGAACGATTGATTGTGCGATGGTGGTGATGGTTGGTTGATGGTAGTGGTTGTTGGTGGTGTTTGGTAGTTATATGGGTCAAAAAATGTGCGGCTCGATGAGAAATAGCGAAGGAGGTATATGTCGAGCGTATTAAATATAAATATATATATATATATATATATATATATATATATATATACATAAATAAATTTAACAAAAGTACTTTAGCGTCTACGTAAATAAAGGAGGATAAAAACGAGCGTCAAATATATGCGACAGAAGCGTGTAAGGGTGAAAAATTACAAGAGAGATAGACAGAGATAGACAGAGAGAGACAGAGAGAGACAGAGAGAGAGAGAGAGAGAGAGAGAGAGAGAGAGAAAGAGAGAGAGAAAGAGAAAGAGAAATATACAGAAAAAATAAATTTTTTATTTTGTCAGTGTGTAATTGGAGAAAGATTGGGATTACATAGAAAGAAAGACAGAGAAACATAGGAGGAGTTAAGAAACTGGAAATTGTTGTTTAGATCAGGTGGAAAGGATTATAAATAGAGATAGAAATACAGAGAGAGAGAGAGAGAGAGAAAGATATAGATAGAAGTAGAGAAAGAGATAGAAATAGAGATAGAGATAGATAGAGAGAGAGAGAAAGAGAAAGAGAGATTGAGAGATAGACATAGAGATAGAGAAGAGAATGTTGATTAAAAATAGGAAAAAGGATTTTTCTAAGCAGCTTTACACGAGACGAGACTTGACGAGACGTGCCCACGCGAGAATATAAAATACGTACGTACATTTACGTAATATTTATTGTTAATAAAAACAAACCAAAAAACGCATGGCAAATTAAAAAAGAAAAGGGAAAAAAGAAAACAAATTAAACAGTTAATATATTATTCCGAAATAATAATAATAATAATAATAATAATAATAATAATAATAGTAATAATAGTAACAGCAATTAATCATAACAATAAAAAAGAAAAGAAAAGAAAAAAGAAAAGAAAAAAGAAAAGAAAAAAGAAAGAAAAAAAATATAAACAGTCTGGGTTAATTTTTTTTTTTTTTTTTATTTTTTTTTTATGGCAAATCGTTCAAAGAATTTCAGCGAGTATTCAACAAGAGAGTAAGTCGTCGGCTCACGGGGACTTAC